GCGCCATTCGCCACTCTGACCACCACCGGTCGCGTAGGACTCGCTGCCACCTGCAAGGTCTTAGCAAAGTCCTCCCCGATAAAATTCAGCGATGCCCCACTGTCAACAAGGACGAGACCCTGCTGCCCGGCTACCTTCGCTCGAAACCTCAGGGAAATTGCCGCCGACTCCCTTCCTGCCGCGCCCGCGTCCGAGCCGCCTCCGGCGCTGCTGTCATCGGCCTCGCGCCCCTCTGCGACCCGCGCGACCCCCGGCTCCCTTCCGACCGCCCCGACGAGCGGGCTCTGCTCCGCGCCGCCTCCTGGAGACGCGCGCGCCTACGCCTTCAGCGCGCCGCCCTCCCCGCCTCGGCCGGCCTCCCCGAGCTCCACCGTCCTCATCTCCTCTGCCGCGGCGCCTCGGGCCGCCCCTTCCTTCCAAAAGCTCGCGATCTGCCACAGCCTTTCCTGCTTCTGAGCCCAGGTTTGCTCTGATTTTTCCATTGCTGCTCTTGGTAATTCTCTGATTTCGAAGCTGTCCCTGATGGAGTTGGGAAGAACTCACCAATCGGAACCGGGCTCTGATACCAGATGTTAGAAACAAAGAAGTTCCACAAGGGAATTAGGGATCGAGAAGAGAAGAAATTAGGGATTTGAGAAGAATTGGGGAAGAACAAGAGATAGAGAGAATTGGGATTTTAGGGATTTGGGTTGAAATATTCTGTATTGATTGCTTCTGCAGAACAATGTTGCCTCTCCTTAAATACTAAACAAAAATAATGGAAAATTACAAAATGGTCACCCCTCATCCAACCGGCCCAACCCGCCGGTTTCTAACAACATCACTTTTTTTTGGGTAGAAAGACGGATGCTAGAGCATCTTAACTTGTATTAATAGAACGGTCTTGCGAAGTACCCATGACATCGTACAGGAGCCAATGTCTAAGGTTCGGGCCGCACACATCGAACAAATGTGTGCCAAAATGGGTATCATGACCCTTACAAGCCAGGAAATCGGCTGCAAAATTGCTCTCTAAAAACATGAGAAAATTACAACTTCCCACTCATAACTAAGGAGTAAATCAATCTGTTGCACCATCAACCCATGACGGTGGTTTGTCTCTTTTGAATTTTTAATGAGGTCAATGGCAGTTGTAGACTCTAACTTTAGCTCCACTTTTTTGTACCCTCTTTCCCAAGCAATGCGGAGCCCTTCGGCGGCACCTTTCAGCTCTGCCCTTGTGATAGAACACGCGCCCAAGTTGCAGACGAAGGCCCCTATGCACCTGCGCAGATGGTCTCTCAAAAGCCCGCCAGCAGCTGCCGAACCTGTTTGGGGGGAGAAGGAGTCGTCCGTCTGAAGTTGGATCCAGCCTTCCTTCAGAGGTGTCCAAGCGAGTTGAACAGTCGCTCGCTTAACCTGTTTATTAGTGCTGATCTTCTCGAAGCTCTCATAAGCCTGGAGGTAAATGCCAAACCAGGCTTTAATCTTGTGTATCAGACCAAGTTCCTAGTAGACTTGGCCATCCAGGACTTCTTCGTTCCTCTGCTTCCAAAGGAGCCAACAGATGATCCCAAATTCAACTCCGTGGTTCTCATCTTTGAGGTTGGACGAGAGCCATTCCTGGAACCCAACGTTAGGGTCAGTGCCTGTAACTCTGTTGCTGAAGTGGCTCCAAATGTTCCTAGTCTTCAAACAGTACCTCAAGATGTGCTCCGTTGACTCTTCGATGTCTTTGCAGTGAGGACAGCTGCTGTCATCCGTGAGGGTCTTCTTGTTCCTTTCTTTGTTGGTAAGCAACCTGTTATGAGTGGCCAGCCAAAGGTAGAGTTTGATTCTGCAAGGTCCCTTCCAACGCCATAGCTCCTTCTATACAGAAACGACACCTGCATCAAGCTCCTCCGCTGCAAGCTTGTATGCCGACTTCAATCTGAATCCGCCATTGCGTTCAATGACCCATAGTATTTTGTCTTCCCTTGCGTCATCTCTCGGCGGTTCTGTACCAGCAATCAAAGAGAGAATCTCCCTGGGGAGAAAAGGAGATAGACGAGCTCAGTCCCAGTCTCCTGAAGTTGAGGTCTAGTCCACCACCATTGTGTTCCTCTCGCTATCTGGAATGTCGGCAAGGAGGTAATTCTCCAAGATCATGTCGTTGTCCAGCCAGGGGTGAGTCCGGAACTCTGTTGATTGGCCATCTCTCACACTCCAAATGGTTGCTTTTTTCATGAGCGACATCGCTTTAAGGATGACTCTCCACAAACTTGAATGGTTGCTTTTCTTCATGGAAGTAATGGCTCCATCTTTATGGTTGAAGTACTTCCCTTGGAGGACCTGCACCCAAAGAGAGGAATCATCATTAAGCATCTTCCATGCCAACTTAATCATATAAGCAATATTTAGGCTTCTAGCCGACTTAAGTCCCAAACCCCCCTTGGTCTTTTGGTTTGCAAATCGTATCCTAGGACACTAGGTGAATCTTCGTTTTTCCCTCTTGAGAGCCCCAAATGAACCCCCTGATCCTTCTATCAATGGCATCACAGGCAGAAGAGGGCAACAGGACATATTGCATGACATAGAAGGGGATAGCATTAAGGACCGAAGTAGCAAGGGTCACTCTACCCGCTAAGGATAGAGTTTTTGCCTTCTAAGAAGTCAATTTTTATCCATCTTTTCCAGAATGTATCAAAAGGAATACTTAGAGAGTCTGCCATGTAGAACCGACATGCCCAAATATTTGCCCAAGTCCAAGGTGGATTGAATACCTAACCTAAGACAAATCTCATTCCTATCAATCGTTTTGACATTCTTTGAAAAGAAAATACGAGACTTCTCCTTGTTAATAACTTCCCCCGACGTTGCACAAAACTTCTCCACACACCTTAAAATCACAGATGCTTGTCTCATGTTTTCTTCCGCAAACAGAACCAAGTCATTTGCGAAGAAAAGGTGTGAAAGAGGTAGCCTGCCAACAGAAAGAGAAACAGGGTTCCAGTTTCCTAATCTAACCTCTTCTCTCACGCAATGACTCAATCTATCAATACATAAAGTAAAAAGGTAGGGTGAGAGGGGACATCCCTGTCTAAGGCCTCTGCTGGGTTTGAAGGGTTGAGTTTCACCACCATTCCAAAGGACCTGTAGCTCCGTAGTAGTAACGCAGCACATAATGATGTGGATGCAGTCCTCAGGTAGTCAAACGTGTCTCAGAGTGTCGTGGAGGAAGGCCCAGTCGATCCTGTCATAAGCCTTCGCTAGATTGATCTTGAGAAGCATTTGACCTTTTCTCCCGGTCTTCTTTGACATAGTATGCAATGTTTCCTGCAAAATGAGAATGTTGTCAGTAATGTGCCTATTAGGAACAAAACTAGATTGATTAGGGTGAACCAAATTGGGCATCAAAACTTTCAAACGATCAGCCAAGCATTTTGCCACAATCTTGTAAGCCACGTTACACTACCCGATAGGCCTGAACTGACTCATGGAAGATGGGGCGTCGACTTTGGGAATCAAGGCAAGGAGTGTTCCATTCATGCCCTGGATACATTGCGGATTCCTGAAACATGACAACACGAACTGCACAAGATCATTTCCCACAACTTCCCAACATTTTTGGTAAAAGATGGCTTGGAAGCCATCTTTACCCGGGGCTTTCAACCCGTTCATGCACATGACAATGTTCTTGATCTCCTCCGGACTAGGCAGACATCCAATCCTGGAAAAACGAGACACATCAATAACAGGGAAATCAGCGGCGATGGGCTGTCTGTCCACAAAGACATCTTTGGTGAAGAGCTTGATGTAGAATTCCCGTGCCATCCCTTGAAGGATCTATGGATCGGTCACCCAATCCCCTTCATCGTTGATGCGGCCAGTTATCTTGTTTCTCTTTCGCCGACTAAGAGTGTTGTTGTGGAAAAATCTAGTGTTTTGGTCCCCTTGGATCACCCAAGTAGACCTAGATTTTTGGAGCCACAGGATCTCTTCCTCCCACAAGGTATGCTCCAATTCCTCCCTAACATGCTGCTCACGGATGATTGAACAATTAGTGGGACTCCTTTCGTTGGCGATCTCCAAGGACTGAAGTTTGTTTGCAAGCTTTTTCTTTCTTCGAAAAATATTTCCGAACACTTCTTTATTCCATCTCTGGAGCTTGACTGTAAGATCCTGCAAAGAGTGGAGGAAACTGTAGTCACCAATCCAAGAAGAAACAATGAAGGGGTGAAAATTTTCGTGCACAAGCCAAGGTGCAAGAAAATGGAAACATCTCACCAGATTGTTATTATTCTTCGGGCACTCCTTACAAGTAAGGATAGGCCTATGGTCCGATCTTAACTTCGTCAGATGGTAATTAACTGACTCTGGACTTTAATTTTGCCACTCAAGGTTGCACAGACTGCGATCAAGGCGTTCCTTGAGGCCAGAATTCTTGAACCACATGAACCTAGGCCCTGTGAATCCCAAGTCGATGAGGCCACAGTCATCAATAAACTCGTTGAAGGCACGAGTCTTAACATGGTTGAAGAGAGAGCCCCCTGTTTCTCTGAAGGAGCAGTGACAGTTAAAGTCCCCAATAATGATCCATGGAGCAGTGAGATCCCTGTTGATGGAGCGAAGCGCATCCCACAAGGCACCTCTCTAATGCTCATTCGGGCTGGCATAGGTGGCTATGACAAAGCAGATAGTCCTCCCTCCCTTAAGACACCTCAAATGCACAAACTGCTTCTCAATCGTTGGTGAGTCCAAAGTGAGATCAACCTTGTTCCAGAACAACCAAATACCTCCGCTGAAGTCAGATGCATCCGAGACAGTCCAAGAGTCATATTCCAAAGACATAATCACCTCGGCTGCCTTCTCTCCACTGATTCGAGGTTCCAGAATACAGACCACATCCGGATGTTGCATACTACGATAGAACTCAAAGGTAGAACGAAACTTAGGGTGCTTCTCACCCCTGCAATTCAAGGAGAAGAACTTAATCATGGAAATGATTAGAGAGGCCTTCCCTGAAAAACCAAAGTAAATGATCAGATAGTGTCAACGACCATAGCCGTTGACCCCTCTTCCTGCTTGCTAATCGTTGTAGCAGACAGGGTAGGTTGCACATTATCTGGTGTGATCTCCGACTTCCCCGGGTTTTCGTCGAAGTCAATCCTCCTTGGATCAAGATTCTCGATCACTTGAGACCCCTCGCTGGGTGTGGTGATTGCTGCCACATTTTTGGGATCTCTTGGACACGCCGAAGAACCCGCTATCTCCTTGCCTTTCATACCCTCCTTGTTTTTGCTATGGTTCCTCGAGGGAGGTTGGGAAGGTTTTGGGTCTTTGTGGTGTTGCTGCTGCGAAGCCCCAACAAGGGTGGAAGGGGAGGAGCCCTTTCCTGGAGCATGGCCTGTGGCAGACTTAGACGCACCTCCTTTGGTAAATGTTGGTGAAGAAGTATTGCTCTGAACTTTGTTGTTGCTCACGTTGTTATTATCAAGTGGTTTCAGGTTGCCTACTCTTAAATTCTGTTAATCTTTTCTCTTCTGGTTCTGAATTTTCTTACTCTTGTCTTAGGGCGCTTTGACTTTAGATTCTCCTTCTTTATTTTTACCTTTTTGGGAATTTCCGGTAGTAGTCTCGCTCCGTCTTTTGTCTGTGGTATTTTTGACCGTTGGTGCTTGGTCCGCCTTCTGTGGGGTTGTGGTAGACGTTGGGCAAGGTGATGATTCAGCATCCACCTCAGCCTCGTGAACTGTGAACCTAGAAACGGTGGTCTTTTGGTCACTCTTAGTCTCTGTTTCCGGCGACAGACTTCCTTCTTCTGCTCCCTTTCTATCACCGCCTTTCTGGGATTAGGCTTTCTTCTTGATCTTGTCGCAAGCATCCAAGGGACATAATCTTCAAGGATCTCTGGCCTAATAACCTGCAACTGGTTGTTCTCTGAATTCGGGGCATGTTCTTATGTTATCTTGCCCGGGCAGCATTCTTGGAGGTGACCATAGCACCCACATCCAAAGCAAACAATATGGAGTCCCTCGTACTCCACTCTCCTCACTCTCCGTTTCAACCTGTATTTCAAGACTAACCGCTTTCGGAGATCCATTTGAACACAAATGCGAGCAAAGTTACCTCTGAACCCGTTAGACGTGTTATAATCAACCTTGACCACCTTCCCTAGTTTATTTCCTATGTCATTGAGAATCTCGTGTTCAAAATAGGCCATCGGAAGTCTCGGCAGTCTCACCCAGACCAGAATGTGGTTGATGACATCGTAATCTGGATCAAAATCCAGCCTCCAGGGCTCTGAGATTATATAGTGGTCTTCAATGGTCCAAGGGCCTCCATAAAGAGCTCTGTCATAATCCAATTGCGACTCAAAGACTGCCTAGCAGTAGCCATTTCCAATGTCTCCAACCTTAACACCCCTAGATTTTGCCCACATGTTCTGAACTCTTCTGTGGATGAAGGCATATGGGCATTGTCTCACTAGGACTCTGAAAGTGATAGCTCTGGCCCATCGATGCTGGATTCTAACATTAGCCCCTTTCCTTATTCTGATAGTAGGGCAATCTGGGTCGTCATCAGCCTCTTCCCCATCGGATTCGTCCGACATCAGTTCGTCTCCATTTAGAACGAAGGGTGAGGCTCCATTCCCCAGGACTGAGTCCTTGTAAGATATCTTCCTCTGGCCTGGATCCACCGTAGATTGGGCATTTGGTTTACCTCCATCCATCGATTCCTCGGGCTGCTCCATTGAAACCTCCACAAATTGGGTCGTAGCAGTAACCACCGTCACCGCAACTTCCATGTCTCCTTCCCCTGAGAAACCTCCGCTGGCAAGGGACTTTGATTTCTTACTTGGTTGGGTCGGGGATGGTGTTGGTGATCCATCAGGAGCTTGAGATTGACGACAATCTCTTGCTGTGGTGGATTAGAGCTCGTCGCCATCGAAAATGAAAGGAGAGAATACATAGCGTTTCTCTCTCCTACTTTCCCTTTCTACTTTTCATTTTCCAAATTATGCATCACTTTTCCAAAGTAAAGAAACAACGGGCATAAGGTTTGGCTGAATTTTTGTCTGTGATTTTTTTTATGCATTGAGGCCGTGATTCAAACAATGGGACTCAACCTTTTTTTTTTTTTTGCAGCTGAATTGTAATCCGCTGAAATTTACACTCGCGTTTTGCCTCGGGTTTTATGGAAGGTTTACAATCTCTTTAAGTGGTCAAAACTACTCATATAATTTTTCATGCACAGAATATGTGTGCAATATAAATGTAAGGTCACATTTGAATCACTTTCACACTTTCGTATGTTTTACTGTTACGTGATTAATTTTCATAAATTTATCATACATGCTAAATCACAATTTGTCGTCCTAAAATTCAAATATCGCCCTAAAATGCACCAAATTGACACTCTTACTCTTTGGCTCAAATTCCTAACTAAAACCCTAAACAAATTCGCCGATGTCCTGTTGCCGACGTCTTCCACTCCAACCACCCAATGCTGCCTCCATCATGTCGTTGCCATTCTCCTCCAGCAATGCACTCCGCTAATGCCATTGTTCTCACCATTGCCGCGCATCATCTCCCCCACCTGTCATTCTCACCGTCGCAGCATAGTCTTCCATTGCTGGTCATTTATATATATGTCCACTTGAATATATTGATAAATGGATTTCGTGAGAATGGCAAAAAAAAAAAAAAAAAAAAAATGGGTTGATGTTAATCCCCAATATGCTTTTAGCTTATATTGTTGCCGGAGTGGGTTTGTGGAGAGGAAGGTGGAAGCGAATAGAGCGGCGCTGATTAACTAGTTAGTGGTTACGTTTTGGTTACGAGTAGAGCGGCAATTAGCAATTCTCAAAATTAAACTAAGAATATTTGAATCATTTTAATAACTGTTAGGCTGACGAATAAGGTGTTTTAGGGCGACGAATAACAATGCCCACAAAAATAAGTGACCACTGTTATCTTGCTTAGGCCCTCTAACTTGCTTTGGTGTCGCCTAGACGCTAAAACATGATGAATGTTTTAGACCATTTTAAAATGTGAGAGACCATAACTCCTAGTTGGAAGCAGCCTAGTTATTCTGCTAACTGCATAAGTTGTTAGTATATACTAACTAATATCCAAAATGTATGAACTAGTGTCTAAGTCTGCTGATTTTACTAAAGTATCTAGATAGCACAGACTAGTATTCAAAACATCACAAACTAGTAACCAGATGGCAGATTTCAGCTAATATCCACAATCAACCAACTAGTATTCAATATGGATACTCTTATGTGTTATCTGGATACTTTTATGTGGTATCTGGATACTAATTATGTGATGTATGGATACCATTATGTGTTGTATGGATACTAATTTGTGACTTTGGGATAATAGTTGATTCATGGTGGATATCAGTTAGCAAACGTTGAATACTAGTCTGTGCTCTCTAGATACTTTGGGTCTTGGGATGAGATAGCATGCCTACCCCTAAAAGGGTTGGGAAAATGACACCCCTATTAATTATAGGTTTTTAAGGTCATTAATTTGAGTTGCATTTAATAATCCGTATGAATTAAAAATATATGTTAATTACTTTCCTTTTTTCAGTGCACTGGTAGTTGTATCAGTGCAATGGTATTAGTGTACAGGTGTAATGGTAGATGTATCAGTGCAATGGTAGTTCCAAAAAAGGAACGTAATTAATATGAGTTAAGTATACAGGTGCAATGGTAGTTAAAAAAAGGAATGTAATTAAGATGAATTTATAATTTCCAAAGATTATTAAATACAACACGAATTTAATACAGAAAATAACTATAATTAATAAGGGTTTCATTTTCCAACCCCTTAGAAGGGTTAGCATGCTAACCGATCCCAAATACTTTAGTACTTGGATACTAGTTCATGTATTTTGGATATCAGTTAGTATATGCTAACTAATCTTCAAGTTAGCAGATTAACTTTTTCGAGTTTGTAGTATTATCATGACTTATAAATTGCCTTGGTGTTTGTTGGGAGATTCAGACATATGTAGTAACAAGAGATTTGTAGAGAATAAAGGCCAATGGTAATAGGGTTAAACTATCCAGCTAACAATGAAGACGCCGAGAAAGGAGGATGAAATCTCAAAATACACATGTTTTTTAAAAAAATTACCAAAATACATACGTTATCAAAAAAATTCCCAAAATACACATGTTTGGGCATCACCGCTTTTGTCAACCGCAGTTAATGCATTCACTGCGTTAGACCAAAGCGCGAATGCATCACTGCGGTTGACGGACGCGGTGAATGCCTGACGTAACACTGAGAGTAGGGGCAGAGCTACTCAGAGAGTAGGGTGGGCCCCAGTCCACTCGGGAATAGTCTAGGCCCCTAGGATCGTAAGAATATTTAGATAAGATTTGGATAAGTAGTGGTCGACCTATACATTGTATCATATAACAATCATGTAGTCTAATGATAGCTAAGCTAAACTTTTAGCCTAAAGCAAACAGGTTCGATCCACAAGAACCTCATTTTTGCTTTAACTTCTTTTTGGACTTTATTATCTTAATTCTCCTCCACAAGGTCCTAGACCAAAGCAAACGGATACCCACTCCTTTTCATTCTTTTGTTACAAATGAAAAAATCAACCTCTATTTAGTTCACTTGGGATTTTTAGCTCTTTATACAAACTATATTATCTATTTTTTTTATCTATGTCGGAATGAACATAAAGATTAGTATCAAAAGAATTTTATTTTGTTGATATGTTGATTTTTCTTCTTCTAACTCTTCCAAATTTCTAAAGCTACATGTGATCGTGCATGTTTTTAGGTATAAAGATAGTGAAGAATAGATTGTGAAACAAAATAAATGATGAGTTTTTTGTTAATGATTTAGTTATTTATATTGTAAAAAAGATAGCTAATTTTTTTAGTTCAGATGCTATTTTGAGAGATTTCAATGATCTCAAAGAACGTTGTAGAATTTAAAAATAATTTTTTTTTATTTACATTTATCTATTTTCGGCCCACCCGGTCTCGAAATCCTGGCTTCGCCCCTGTGCTCGGTTATCTGATTGTAGCGAATTTTTTTTTATTCCATATAAATTTTCAAGATCTTTCAATCTGCAACAAGACTTCATCTAAAAAAATGTCGTTTGTTACCCCGAACGAGCAATATTTTGATTTTGCCAAATTTTGGAAGGCCATAACTTTTAGCTCCTCAATCCGAACGTCATAAAAGTTTTTTTTATATTGCGAATAACTTTTTAAGAACTACAACTTTTACTAGGAAAGAATTTTTAAAAAAATAAATATTTTTGGGTATACGGGATATTGGGAATAACTTTGCCTTTACTTTTCACAAATCCACATACTTTCCAAAATTATTGTTATAACCAAAGTTGTAGTCCTTCAAAATTTATGCGAAATCAAAAAAAGTTTCATGACATTCGGATTGTGGAGTACAAAGTTATGGTCTTTCAAATTTTGTCAAAATCGAAATATTGCTCGTTCGAGGTAGCAAACGAATTTAATTTTTTGGGATGAAGGCTTGTTTCAGATTGGAAGATCTTGAAAAGGTATGTGGAATAAAAAAAATTGCTACAATCGGATAACCGAGCGCAAAGTTACTTTTTTTTAAGTTTCAGTGTTACGTCAGGCATTCACCGCCGCCGTTAACCACGGGGATGCATTCACCGCCATTCACCGCTTTGGTCTGCTGCGATGAATGCATTCACTGCGGTTGACAACAGCGGTGATGCCCAAACATGTGTATTTTGGGAAATTTTTTTATAACGTGTGTATTTTGGGAATTTTTTTTTTAAAAACATGTGTATTTTGAGATTTTTTCTGAGAAAGGAAAGGACAAAGAGGATGAAATATTGTGAGCGATGAGGGAGAAGAGAGGGTCCGCCATTTTGAGGTTTCTTTTTTTATTTTATGTTGTGTCCGCTTATTTATATGAAAAACATCTCTTCTCATGTTAGGTGCACCTAATGCAAATTTATTCACGTATTTTTGTACTCATTCACGTCATTTGGTGTGTATTCACATAATACTATGTTTATTCACGTAAATGAAAATTCAGACGTCTTCCCCATAATAATTTGTATTGGCTACGTTTTATGGAATTAAATTTGGATTCTCAATTAGTCTGTAAAAATATGTTGCATTGATCATAATCTACACAATGACATCCATTTTGATATATTTTAACGTCTAAAATTTTATTTTACAATGGCGTGAATAAATAACAATATGTGTGAACAAACACCAGGTTGCGTAACTAAACAATATTGGTTGCGTGAATAAGCAACACTCTTACGCGAATAACGTCAATATGGCGTGAATAAATGAAAAAATGCGTGGATTAGGTGTTCTTGTCACCTAACGTGACAAGAAACATGATTCTATTTATATATTGAGGCAATGTTAAATCTCACTTATAAATCGCTTATTTTCGCCTAGCATCTAATCGCACCTAGACACCCCATGCATTTTTTAACCATGCTATTTAGTATTGTCCATAAAGAAGTTAAACATAATCGAATAAAACCTTTCATGTACACGTAACAATAACCATAATCAGTGGCGGAGCCAAGACTAGGGGAATGGGGTCCCAAGACCCCACTTTGGGGCCAAATATGGGCTGAAAATGCTTTGAATTTGATAAATGACCCCATAGTGAACCATCTCACCCAACATCTTTACCTTGACACATGTGTATCTCAATCATTCAGGACCCCACTTAAATTTAAATCTGGCTAAGCCACTGAACATAGTCTGCAATTTTAACGGAGGAAAAGAAAACTTGTAGTGAATCAATGCATACTAATTTTAATGCCCGCCACCGCCACATCGCCGCCCCCACAATGGCCACCACCGCCGCACCACCCGCCGCCATGGCCGGTGCCGCCACATCCTAGCCCTCCATGGCCACCACCCCCTCCAGCATTGGACGAGGTGGTCGTGGTCATGAAGAAAACCCCGCCGTCTTGAGAAGAATAGCGGCTATGCTTCCGTCGGTTGACTGGCGCGGCGCTACTCCGGCTGGTTTTGCCCTTTCCTCCATTGGTCGCCGGCTTTGAACCGAAGCATCCCATTGCTCAATCGCCCTTGCTTGCTAGCTTAAGCTTCCTCTTCTTTCCTCTTATAATTTCGTTGCAAGCAGTGGCGGACCGATGAATTTTTCATAGAGGTGTCATTTAAAAAAAATTAATAAAAAATTAATTAATAAAAATAAGAAAATACCTTACTCGTATAGGTAAAAAAAAGTCCATATGTGTTTTCGTATTCTGAAATAATTGTAGAATACACTTGGTGTCTACAGTGTCAAAAAAATTGTCTCTATATAACCTACTAGATAATCATTCACGAACTATCACATATTTGATTTGTAAACTTGTTTTTGATGTAACCCAAAGTTGAAAGTCTCTTTCAACACTTATTGTACAACCATAAAATCAATACAAATTAAGGGTAGGTTGAAATTAGTTTAATTGCTAGATTTTGAAAATAATTAGAGATAGGGAATGACATTTTACTATGATACAGTGTTCAAAATCGAACAACAAATGAGTTGTAGTTTAATGGAAATTAAGTATATTAATAATAATAGTGCTCTAGGTTTGAATTACCCAACCTACCACTTCTATTCCCATACAAAATGTAAAAAATGACAGTAGAATAATTATTTTTTCAAATTTCAGGGGTGTTCCTCACTATCAATTATAATTTTTTTATTCGTACGTAAATTAACACTATGGGTTTTTTTTGCCAAAAGATATTATGTATTAGGGATGGCAATCGGGCGGATCGGGGTCGGATGTATATGGATCCGTCACCCGCCCGCCGAAACTTCGGGTTTGGGGAATCCCTGGCCGAACACTGTTATCGGTTGTAAAAGAGCAACCAAGCCCGCCCGTTTTCGGGTGTCGGGTTTGTCGGGGACCCGAAACCTATCCGACTAGTTCATTAGTTAAAAAACAACAACCAAATTCTTACGTGAAGCTGAAACATGAACTTCATAACGTCAAATCCAGAAACCAGAATGCACTGGAGAAGTAGCAAAAGAACAAAACATTCAACAGAAAACATCCAATCCTAAAATACCATCAAATCCAAAATGACCAAGACCATTGTATCAGCAAAACAAAAGTTTAAATGACTAGCAAAAGTGCAAAACATCTCTACTACTGGTCCTCGAGAACAACTTCGATAGCAACAGCAGCACAACAGCATGAGAAAGACTTCACTTTAGGCCTCCAAACTCCACTTTCCAGCAGCAACAACAATGCAGCATTCTGCATTCCTTGGTTCCACCCAGCAGCCAAGGCAACAAAACTCAAACAAAACCTGAAAAACGAGGAAAAATAACCGTTATTAAGGATTCAAATTCACAAATCATGAACTCAATCATTCTGCATTCTTACTTACATCTTGCTGCTAAGTATCAGTTCACAAATCTTGATTAATCTTCAAGAAGCTTGAAACGAGGGGCTTGCTCTACACATTTAAACAAACTATCTCAATCTCATTGACATATATCAAAGGCTAGAAGAAATCACACAACTGAAACAAGGTTTTTTGCTTATTACCTTCAGTAGTTTCAGCATCAGGTTGGAGCTGGACCAGATTGGCTTCACTTGTAGGGGAGAAACATCCTTCCAATACTCCTGCTCCAGTAGCAGCATCATCTAGGAATGCAAGCCAAGTCAAAATAGTTACATAACATGCTAAAACAACAATGAAATTGAACAAAAAGATTAACTTAACAGGGTTAAGAGTTTACCTCCAGCCAACTCAGCTTGCAACCAACTTCTTGTGCACACAAGTGTTTCCACAGTAGCATGGTGCAACCTGCTCCTATGAGGGTCTAAAACACGACCTCCAGAGCTAAATGCACACTTAGATGCAACAGAGGTAACAGGAACAGCCAAAACATCCCTTGCTATGGCTTGCAAAGTGGGATATTTTGGACCATTATGCTTCCACCACATTAAAATATCAAACTCAGCAGAACGAGGGAGAATTTCCTCATTGAGGTAACTGTCCAACTCAGTATGGACAGAAGTAACTCTTGCCCTTTTTCTTTGGCTCACAAATTGATCAAAGTCCAAATCAGTGGTGCTAGGAGCAGAGGACTCAACTCCAACATACCCAGAAACATTCAGATTCCTCTCCTCATTCATTTTACTTTGGTACTCCAATACCAGATCAGATAATATGTCCTTAACAAATTCCAAACAATAGCCATCAAATTCAACACCAAATTTTTCAGCATAGTAGTCAACAATTTCCAACTTATACCGTGGATCTAGAATCACAGCAATAGCAAGGACTTTGTGAATCTCGTCCCAGTACTTGCTGAATTTTTCCAGCATAGAATAACCCATCTTTTGAATCAATTCATTGGTATCAACACACCACTCATGAATCTTGAGTTTCAACTCACAAATACGAGGGAAGAACAGATTAGTCGTTGGATACTTCGATCCAGAGAACAAATCAGAGATAGAGCTAAAAACTTTAAGTTTCTCACAAACAAGTGCAGCAAATTGCCACTGCTCATTCGATGGCAAGAAATTATATTGAGCATCACGTTGCTTCAGTCTAGTGAAAACCTCCTTGTAAGGAATAGCAACAGATAGCATTTTAAAGGTGGAGTTCCACCGAGTAGGGCAATCCATAACAAGTCGTTTCTCAGAAGTGAATTTTAACTGCTTTGCAGTTTCAAGGAAGAACTCTAGCCTTTTAGGGGTAGCAGACCAGTAAACAACACTGCTCCTAATGTTATCAATTCCCTCTTTAACAACATCCAGACCATCTTTCACAATCAAATTCAAGATGTGAGCAGCACACCTCATATGTATCAAAGCACCATCACTTATCAAGTCAGGTAACACTAATTTTGACTGTATGACACGAATCATAGAGTCATTAGTGCTACAATTGTCTAGGGTAATGGTGGATACCTTACTGTCGACATTCCAGTCGAGCAAACAGTTAACCAACACTGTCCCCAACCTTTCAGCAGTATGAGGTGCTGGTACATATGCAAATCTGCACAAGAACGAGCAGACAAAGAAACAATTGCAATTAGGAATGAAACAAAAACTAAGAAACAGAAACCAATGATTCAAATAGATACAAATTACATGTCTTACCTAAGCATATGGCTCCTAAGCACCCACGAATTGTCAATATAATGAGCTGTAACAGCCATGTACCCCTTCTTTTGATTGGTGGCAGTCCACAAATCAGTAGTTATTGCAATTCTACCTCTGTTGATATCAAACAGACTTTGAATCTTAGCTCTTTCAATATCATAGATCTTAAAGACCTCTTTCTTTATAGTATTCCTCGATGGAACAGTGAACAATGGTTGAAGAGAGCATACAAATCTCTTGAAATAGAGATGATCAACCATCGACAAAGGATATTCATGCATTGTAATAGCAATTGCAAGCTCCCTTTTTGAAAAATCAGAGTTGAAAGCAGTAGCAACCAAGTCTTGATTTCCTTTAGCCAAATAGTGAGGGCCGAGAATCTTTTGACTACCATCCCTAATTTTCTTCTGAACACAAATTTTGGTGTGATTCTTTAGGTGGGTAGTACCATTATTTGATTCCGCACCTAATTGCTTCTTACAATAATTGCATTTAGCCTTGACAATTCCATTAATTCGAACTTTGGTATAGTGTAACCAAACAACACTCTTAAGCTTACCAACGTCGAGTATTTCCTCGACAACATTACCATTCCCAGCATTGCCATTCTGCTCATTTGTAGTTGCTGCCTGCGGAGTTGGGTTTGTGACAGTCCCATTTCCAGTAGGTGCAGACAGAACTGGATTTGCACTATTGTCATTATCTTGTGGAGTGGGTTGAACTCCCTCTGTTGACATTGTTCCTGCCGAAAAAACAGAGGAACAAGGATTAGTAGGATATCAAGCGACTCCCTCAATCATTAACCAACACCAATGATCAAAATTGAAACAAAGAAAGTGGATATTTACCTTGAACAAACAGAGTGAGGCACAAACAACGGGTGGGAATGGATGTGAAGATGATTCTCGCACAGTCGCACGCACAAGGCCAGTAGCCACAAACCAAACAAGCAGTAAAAGGATGAGAAGTCAGTCTAAGAACTGAGAAACAGAGTACTGAGATTGAAACTTGAGAGAAGTATGAACAAAAAAATAAGCCCCACCTCGTATTTATACTCCAACTTCAATCTCCAGCCGAATCGACTATTCGACTTCGCTGTCACTGCAAGAAATTCTCTTTGCATGCGCCAAGCCATGATCGAAAGGGAAATGATTATCATCATCGGGAAGGAAAGCGGATAATCGATGGGAGATTGAGATATGCGACCGATATGTTAGGGATTCGATGCAGCGGGAGCAATCGGATTGCTAGATTCTAGCCTAGGGTTGGAGGCGGAGAAGAAAATGGGAGACGAAGAGTTGAGGGGAGTATTCTAGACCTAGGGTTTCTGATTAGAGGGTGTTTATATATGTACGGGGCGGAGTCGGGGCGGATAGTTTCGAGTCCGAAGCCCGACCGAAGCCCGTTTCTCTTATTCTCGGGTTAATCCGAGTCCGGCCCGGAGTCCATCATCAACGGATTTTGCCTGATTTTGTCGGGTCGGGTTCGGATCGGATATTCGGGTTTCGGTTCAATTTGCCAAGCCTAATATGTATTGATCAAAAAGTAGACAGTTACACCCTGGAAACCAGCCAGGACTGGAAATCAAAAAAGCGACTCATAGTCGGATACAAAGAAAGAGCTTTCCTAGCTACCAAATGAGCTACCCTATTGTTCTCCCGACCTACAAAACGCACACTAAAACCAGACTGAGTGCGAAAGTAAAGACAAATCTCTTCCAGAACAGCACCCAACCGGCTATCTCTCGTGTCGGCTTGAATAATTTTGTCAATAATCACCTTCACATCGCCCTCAAACCGGACCTCCGACAAGCCTTGCTCCATATACCAAATAATAGCTTCCCGAAGCACAAGCAATTCCACCATTACCGGGTCATCCAATTGAGAAAACTGAACCCCTTTAGCCAGAAGGAGTGTCCGCGCTGGGTCAAAGAGAACCATCCCACTAGCCGAATGCGACCCACCCTACGTAGCCCCATCCCACATGCAAACCAAATGAGAATCACCCACTGGCGCAGTTGGTTGCATCATCGGGGTAATCGTCCTCGGAGCTCGATCCGCTGGTAGACCCACCCATTCCTCATACTGTTGGTGAAACTGCCGCATGAGCGTCGGGATCCCAAATTGATTGCCCTCAAAGACAACCCAATTCCGAGAATGCCAGATCCTCCAAAGGATGGCAACAACAGCCATAACCAATGACGGTTGCTGAATCAGCGCCAACAAACGTTTGAGAAACAAAGGAAAAGTGTGCCGAGGCAGACCCTCCCCCAGGTAGTTCAACCCTGAATAGTCCCAGAGAGCCCGCGCAACCGGACAGTAAAGGAAAAAGTGTTCCATCGTTTCCGAGCCATCCCAACAAACTGGACACCGAGGGAGAACCTGAATATTTTTCTCAATAAGCGCCTCCGTAGTTGGAAGAGCCCGATTAAGGATTTGCCATACAAAAACCTTCAACTTTGGAGGGATCTTCGCCTCCCATACTCTTATCCAACTCGGTTTATCCATCCAACTAACCGAGGATCGCCACCCACCCCTCCTCCATTCCAAATCGACAGCCAAATGATAAGCCGACTTTACCGAGAAAACCCCATCAGCCGTAAAATGCCAGATAAGCTTATCAGGCACATCCCATCTAGGAAGAGGAATAGCTTTGATAGCCTTACAGGTGGGTGGATCAAACCACTGACAGAGCCTCTCATCAGACCATCTCCCTTCCCCTTGACAAATAACCTCGGCCACCAAAGGATCACCCCCCTCAGGCAAAATCCGCAGATTATAACATGGGGGATCAAGCTGGTACCAGGGGATCCAGTTAGAGTGAAGGAGGGATACCGATTGGCCATTACCAACCTGCCATCTCAATCCCATCTCCAATAACTGACGCCCATGAAGGATACTCTGCCACCCCCAAGAGGGACGAGACCTAGCAGCCGCAGTCATGAAGGACCCTTGTGGAAAATACTTGCCTTTATAAATCTGGGCAAGAAGCGAATGAGGTTCATTAAGAATACGCCAGCCTATCTTTGCTAGAAGAGCTTGATTGAAATGCTTAAACTGACGAAATCTCATCCCCCCATCATGCTTACTCCTGCACATATTTCGCCAGGACACCCATCTGATCTTGGGACTACCTTCCTCACCCCCCCCCCCCCCACACCAAAAGCGGGCCACATGTCTATCAAGAAGCCGACAAATAGCTAGGGGGAGACGAAAACAGGACATAACATGCAGGGGCAAGACCAACGCTATGGATTTAATTGAATAATCGTTTTCCCAAAATTTGGGACACCCCTAAAGCCCGTGCTTCCGCCCCTGGTTGCAAGTAAGAGCAAAGGACGTAGAGTTAGGCTTCATTATATAGGATAATTAATTTCATAAATGTAGAATCCTTTACGAAAAAGGGAAAGCGCTGATCTTTGCCTAATATGAAGAGGAGGTGAAAACTCGTTGATTTATTGTTAAGAGAAGGTTCAACCTAGCGTACGTCAGTAGTACATTGTACGTCTATTGAGTTTTACTATTTAGAGTACGAATAAACCGGAGTTTGGAGCATGATACTATACCCTAACCTCTAATGGATGAACCCAGTCCCTAATTCTCTAACCCCAGTTACAAGATTCATTTAATAAAAAAAAATCATAACCGGCGGTTCTGATTCAGCGAAATAGATTTAAGTGCAAAAACCAAATGTGAACACAGGCATACAGCGTACGCCTGACGTACGCTAGGCTTTGGTAATCAAAATATATTATTGAATAATGTAAGCAATATATATTTCTAAATTAAGAAATCCAATGGATGGTTATGGGCTAGTGAGTATGTCTATCATGGATTTATTGCTAGGGATGACACTAAGGTAAACATTGAACTCGGAAATATTTTAATGGGAATGAGGTAAAATCCGAACTCAAATGTTATGGGTGATAGATGGATATAATTTTTTCACTATTTAACCGACACCCGTCCGATTATACATATGTATATGTATTTTGTTTGCAAATAATTGTTATTTTTTTTCAATATCTTTGATATATAGTATTTTCATGAAATTTTATTGTTCTTAATTATTTTTTTCATTATAGTAATTTGTTATTGTATTTTTTACTTATGTAATGTCAACATACATGTAGTTGTTTCTTTGAGGTTAAGAATATAAATTAGGGCTAATACCACTGGAAATACCAACCTTTAGTAAAAGTGTCATTTATATTACGTAAATTCAATAAATACAAAAATATTCCAACCTATTAGATGTTTGCGTCATTTGTGTTACGTGAATTTCTGTTGACCGTTAGAACTAACGGTTGACCTAACGGTGGTCAACCTTTGACTGACCACTGATGAAGTGGCGCCTATGTGTGGTCCACATATGCAACACGTAGATGCCACGTGGGAAATTAGATTTAACATTTAAAATAAAATATATAATTAATTAATTAATTTTTAAAATTAATTAATTAATTTTTTTAATAAATTTATTTTTATTATATTTTCTCACCTGTTCCCCTCTCTAATCTCCATCACTCGTTCGTTGATTAGAATGCCCAACGCAATTTGGGGATTAGGGTTTGGAGGTGGAGATTGTGAGATCTAGTTCGCCCTCCAATCTTCCCACCTGTATTCTCACCCCTACTCTCACCCGACCATTATTCCACCATCAGTTTCAGTACATCAGATCAATAACAACATCAATGAAGCGCCGGTTTGCAGAACAGAGCCTCCGCCGGCTCGATTTCCCCGTCGGCGGCGACAATATCTGTTCGTTCACCGAACAGATCGTGACTCCCCTACTCCCGACCATCCGAGCAAATTACGACGCCCACGTGGACATCTCAGACCCAGATCTGGCACACATCGTGGCAATTGATTTCCTCTTCTTAGTCGAGTTGCTTCTGCAGTCAAATGATCGGACCCTGCTTAATTGATGAACGGCGTCGGGATGCTCGGAAACCAATTCCCCGTCTTCTCAATAATCGATCGCATCAAATCGATAACCACCGCTGCTAATTTCTGCAACCAGCAGATCTTGTTTTTTGAGAGTAGGTGGGTCAGTTTTGCCGGCGAATTTCTCCCCTGCAATGGACGACGGAGAAGACGGCGTTGCGGGAGGAGCAGCAGCGGCGGCGACCTCAGCATTTGTTGGACTAGTTGTAACTTCAATTACTGCTGGATTAATGAAAGCCGTGGATTCAACAACTGGGAAGCTAATTCGTCTCGGTCGATGTCGCCTCCTGAAAGAAGTAGCAGAAGCCCCCCTCATGCTTGACCTCGGAATCAGCTCGATCGCCTCCAACTCCCCCTCCACTCCACTTGATTGTCGATTGATTCCACCCACCTCGTCGATTTTGAGAAATTCTTTTTCTAGGGTTCTTCCTCTATTCGTAATCGAGAGTGACGAAGAGGAAAAGATGAGAACAAAATGAATGTGTTACTGGGGCCTCCTTGTTTTTGCATATATATATTTTTGTTTTTTATATTTTAATTGGGTGAATATTAAATAAACAAATACTTAAATGTCCACGTCAGCGAACCACGTAGGATCCTATTAGGTGATGACTGGACGTTGAAAAGTCTCACAGTTAAATTTAACGGCCCAACTAATGGAATAGACATTTTGGTATACAAATGTCATATCGATAATTACGTAATATAAATGGCACTTTCGCTAAAGGTTGGTATTTTCGGTGGTATTAGCCCTATAAATTATTATCCATGGATAAAGGTGGATACCTGAAATTCAATAAGATACGAGTATGATTTTAATATTCTACAAGATTGTTGTATGCATATAAATGGGTATGAGTAAAACCCAAATCATTGTCATTCCTATTTGTAATGAACATTTGAGGAAAACAACACTTAAGATTCCATTTGAGGAAAACAACACTTAAGATTCCTACTCTCTTTTATTCTTGGTAAGGGTTTAATATGTGATGAGACTGCAGAAATGGAAGAAATGTACGTGTTCATGGTTCTCTCTGGCAGCCCTTCCCAGCTATTAGCCTATTACTAGACATCCACAGAAATACCAAACGGCAGTGTTTTCGTATGTTGCTAAATTTGCAGCTGACGAGAAGGAAATCAACGCATTAAGAGGCTCAGGAGTTGGAAACAAGAATACCACATTGGAGAGCATGGGAAGTATGAAGTAGTTAGACGTATTAAACAAGAGCTGAGTGCTACCATACAACATACTTACCTGGACGGGATCTACGGGCGATCAATAACACCTGTGGTCTAGGCCAGTGGCCTCCATTGCACTTTGCGGAGGGGCGCTGGGCTAAGGCAGGGGCGGATACATGGGCATGGGACACCCCTAAAATTTGGGGAAACGATTATCCAACCTCCGGTAGTAGTTTCGTATGGGTATACAAAATATAATTGGTAATTCGGGACACCCTAACATTTGAAAAAATGATTATCCTACCCTCGATAATAGTTTGCTTATGATTAAAAAAATATAAGTGGTAGTCCGTGTTATTCCAACTTAGGACATTACTATTATCAAACATATTATAATTATGTTGCTACTCATTTGTTATTCTATTTTAAACAACATGCAACAGTAAAACGCTATTTCTTTATCCACAACTATTTTCAATACCTAATAATTAAACTACGTTCACGCTACCCTTAATTTTGAATTGATTTTATGCTTACACGGCAAGTATTGAAAGAGTCTTTTCTACTTTGAGCTACATTAAGAACAAGGTTAGAAATCGAATATGTGATAAGTTCGTGAAGTATTATCTAGTAGGAAATGTAGATTTTTTTTGAACAGTGCAAACACGGAGTTTATTTATATTATTTTTTCAAAATATGAAAACACATCATGAATTTTAATAAAAAATTTATACAAGTATGATATTTTTAATATACAAATTAATTAATTTATTATTTAATTAAATTTAATTTTTGAAGAGGACACCCCTGTGAAAATTTTCTGAATCCGTCACTGGGCTAAGGTCTCCCCAATGCGGGAGAGCCTACATCATAATTTGTTGCTGAGGGGGCCTGCGTTCCCGCGGTCCCTGCCCAATCCCTAGTTCAACTCTTTGATCCTTTTTCACGTCATTGTTTTGGTGCAGAATTATCTTTCCGTCTCGTTCAAGTAAATGGTGTAGAATGTCAGTTATTTGATTGAATGTTGTAGTTCTTTGAGTGTTTTCAGCTCTACACTAACTTAAATCTACCGAATCTTTACTTTGCAGTGAGTGTCATATGGGGGAATTGAGTAACCAGAGTTCGACAAAAAGAACCATTTATCACAGCATGCAGCAGAGCTTCCCCTGAATCCAAAAAAATGTGAAGTTTGTGTATAAGAAGAAAAGCTTGATTTCCAGGACGAAACATTTCGAAGCAATCGGTCCGACGAGGAATAGAGTGGTGGCGGTGGGATTTGTTCTCATCATTGGAATTCCAGTGGTGAATTTGGATAGCGCTCTGGCTGAGCTTTACTAAACGACTCTGTAGGTGTAAACTCTGGTAAGATGTTCCAGCAATCAACTTCTTGTAAGAGATTGCCATCACATAGTGTCTTCTCAAGCAGATATCAAAGAAGGCAAACCAGGCGTCAAGAATGGTGTGAGGACTGAGGATCAATGAGTTGCAGTGATGAGATGAGGCCGTTGGAAGCTTTTGATTGCACACACAAATAGGGTGGATGATACATGGTTTAGAGAAGAGAGGCAGGAGTGTGAATACCACATGGACAACGTATGGAATCTCAGAAGGAGAAAGAAGTATAAACTCAATGGTAAGTGCTACTTTACAACATACTTACCTGGACGGGATCTACGAGCGATCACGAAGGCTTATGGTCTAGGTCAGTAACCTCCATTGCACTTTGTGGAAGGGAGCTGGGCTAAGGTCTCCCCATTGCGGGAGAGCCTACGTCATAATTTGTTGTTGAGGGGGCCTGTGTTCGCGCGGCCCCTGCCCAATTCTCAGTTCAGTTATTTTTAGATTGGCTATAGGCTTTAATTTGTGAAGTTCAAGCAGGATTTTGTCAAATGCCCATCTGCAGTGGAATACCAATTAGGATATGCTTCAACAGTAAATGCATCTCAGAACATTCACTTCAAGGTCTGATTTCTAGATCTCAAGGCTTAGTGATTCCACATAACAGGACAATTAAACAGAACAGCCGATCAGTCCAAATCGTCAGCAAAACGACCTCGACTTAACGACTATATGCAACGACACTTTGAATGACATGTTACTACGAGGCCGAGGCGATTGGATTCTTTAAGCATAGTGTGACGATGGATAGCGTGATGCCTAAAGGTGACCTATGATGGAACTAATGCAGAGGGAGACACACAAATAGCACTAACCCCTGAGGAAAACAGATCAAGCGACGTAGTTGCAAACAACCACATTTAGTTCTAGTCATCTTTATAGCGCGATTTAGCTATCTGATCGTCATATATGTGCAATTTTCTGTTTCGCAATGCAAAGAAACAATATTCCTAGAAAGTTCACGTATGGGAGTTCCCCACTTCCTCTATTACCATTTCCCCAAATTTCATTTTTGCTTATAACCAGAGCAACCCTTAATTTGTGAAGGCAAGAGAATCTCAGCAGAGAAGTTTAAACGGCTCTTCCTACTCAGCACTCTTCCAATGTGTATAAACAGTCTGGACAGAAGATTTGACTGGATTTGGGGCTGTGATTCAAACAGCAGATTTTGCCCTAAAAACAAAATTAGTTGCCTCAGCTTTTGTGGAACATCTGCAATCGCTCCAAGCGGCCAAAACTATGTATACAGTTTTTACATGGACATAATATGAACTAATTCAACAGCACATCTCTAAACAACAACCCAGTAGTTTTTCACTATCATAACTCCAAAATCTGTTGTACTAGTTATCCTTCACCAAGCAAAATTTGAGAGCTATCACAAGGCTTTGGGGTTCTCATTTTCTACCAGAACCAACCTTCCTTCGCTTAGCCAGGCCTCTCTGCTTCTGATCCTTCTTCATCTTCTTGGAGTGAGATCCCCCAACAAGGGAAGGCTGTTGCTTCAGAGCAAAGCTTTTGGCAACATGCCCCAGGTGAAGCTTCTTAACCATGAATATCCTTTTCAGCTCTCCACGGTGCGCAGTGTATGCACGGACCCAAGAGCAAAATGCATTCTGGGCTAGTATATTCACCTTTGGCTGATTATAACATGGGGACAAAAAGCAATAAACAAAAAAAGCAAGCCTTTGTCAATGGAGAAGGGACAAATGTTTCTAATGATTCAAGTGATCCATGAAGGGAAACAATTACCTCAGTTGTGACAAATGATTCAAGTGCCCTCTGCAGAGCTAATAACCAAGGGTGTAAATCTAAGAACACCGACTTCTTTCCTCCACGTGGTGTTTGACCATACAAGGGGAAACTATCCAGTATCTTGACAATCGGATACTCTGTAAGTGATACTCCATGGGTTTCCAACTCCTTCAAATAATCTACTTCTACAGGCTGCATAAATAGTATAGAATCTCCTTTCTCTCCTAACCTGGCAGTTCTGCCAACCCTGCAATACGGATAAAGAAATATACAATCATGCTCTGAACATGGTGGAAAAGGGAAATAACAAAGAGCTAAAAAAATCCATGGTAAAATAAGTCTAGATCTATTACCTATGAACATATTCGGTAGCATCTCCAGGAGAATCATACTGTATAATACATCTGACCTTAGGGAAATCCAAGCCTCTGGAAGCAACATCTGTTGATAAAAGAAGAGCTGACTTCTCGGTTTTGAAAGACTGAAATGTTGTTCTTCGATCTTCCTGTTCCATGCTTCCATGCAATCGAAAAGTTTTGCATTTCAAAAACTTCTCCTTCTTGAGTTCTGTACCAGATTCTGAGCAGCAGAATCCACTCAACAGAGAATAGTGAAAATCTACTGCATCACACGTTGAAAAGAACACCACTATCTGTGAAATGACATAAGAGATATCAACAAGTTAAGAAAGGTACATTGACATAATTTTCACATGAATATAAGATTTGAAAAGAGAAAGAAAGACATTTTGTGGTGGTGGTGGTGAGATGGTCTTTTGATTACAGAAAGCACAAATCCACTCCTGATGCTCCGATATTGACATTACAAATGTCAAATGATATACACAATAGCATATCATAGTTGCATGTATTATTTATGAATAGTTCAAGAAGATTAGCTTAGTTTTTTTTGTGGTTGACTGATAACAAGCCCGCTATGCATTATTCAAGTGCATAACTATTTCCCTAAGTTTCAGCCAACACAAGGTTGAACTTGAAGTTTATTGTAGGATAATGGGAACAAAAGAGAAGAAGAATGATCGAGAGGGATATTGCAATTGAATTAGAATGAATGGAGTGACAGTTCCAATTTGTAAAATTAAAAGCAATGCGGACTAACATCACATGGAACATCAAATACATAATATTCAAATATTGTGATAGAAATAAACTAGCCACACCTTATATGAGGCTTCTCTTTCAAAGAGATGTTTAAGAATGGATAGCAGCACCGAAAGCCTTGCACCACAGGGCACTGCATAGAAGTCATTGAATACAATTGGCACCCCGAGCATCCAGCAACATGTACACAACAAGATTATAGGAAGCAAGACATTACCTTTCACATATTTTTGAACCACCTGCGCCGGTAAATTGTAGTCTTTACCTGATGAGCTTCTCGGAAGATCATTATCATCATCAGCATCATCATCTGATCCTAACAGTTTATGACGCGCCAGTGAGGGATCCACATGAACTCTCTTGTCATCCTCAAGGCCAATCAAAACTGGACTTTCCAAACTTATTTGAGCAAGATGATTCACTTTATCATTTAATGTAGCCGATAATAGCAGATTTTGCCTCTGGCCATTAGAGATACTTGAATGTTCAATTCCCATGTCAGTAGAGCCAGCTTGTCTAGACCCTAAAACTTCCAGTATCTCCTCTATTTCTTTGCCAAATCCTAGTTCCAAAATTCTGCCAATAATACAGAGTATCAGAATGTTTGGCACCCTATCGTCCATATCCGAGTGAAAGATTAAAATGAGATAATAAAAATTTGACCAGTTGACCAGATAATAATCTGTACCTATCTGCTTCATCAAAGATTAACCACCGCAGGTTTGAATGTGTGAAGGAAGACGTATGCTTCAAGTGATCCAAAAGGCGCCCAGGAGTTGCAACAAGAATGGAAATACCTGCAAGGAACCAGATAATTAAGTGTCAACTTCTGTTGCTGATGAAAAGCTTCAAGTTTATTGTCCTGACAATCCCTATATACACTCTACGTGCTGAAAAAGTAAATCAGAACAACCTAGTGTGGCAACAATTATAGAGAAAATGGCAATGACAGCAAAGATTGCCAATGAAGTTGCTTTAGACCGTAAATGACAAGTAAAGTGAGACAACGTCAAAAAGCGATGAGCAACAGATGAGCAAATATAAATGTGAAATAAGCATAACGATTCAATGGTTTTATTAACATATAAGAAAGTCCCCGAAACCATGATTCTATAAAAAAGATAGGGTTCCAATGAAAGGAAATTCACACCTTTGCGAAGCCGAGCTTTCTCTTTGTTTCTGTTTTCGCCACCCATTACATAACCAGGGACAATCCAATGAAAACGATGCAATAATTTCTGCAGAATCTCATAGACTTGCAGGCAAAGCTCCCTAGTAGGCACAAGAACCAACCCTACAATGCAGATAACAGTTAAGTTCCAATTTCAAAGAGACAAATTGGTCCAAAAAAGCTTAATAGCATGAGAGGAGGAATCAAGGAAGAAAGAGGGATCCGGTTACCGAAAGTTCCCTGGGAGCGGCCAATCTTAGGGTCATAACTCTGCAAGTGATGAATGATTGGAGCTAAATAGGCAACAGTTTTCCCAGTGCCCGTAGCAGCATTAACAAGTCTACATTCAAGCTTCCAATTAAGGCCAGAAACAAAAGATCCATTGTTTAACCAATCAAGAGAACCTCCACAGTAAAGTAAGAGATGCCATGGACAATTAAAGAACCGCAGATACAACTTAAGACTGATAAGGATACACATGACGGCCGGCGAGAATAACAGGAATAGCTTGAGCTTGTATCAACGTCGGAGCTTCAAACCCCATCCTCTCTGTTCAGTAATCACATATGTCAAATCAATAACTTGCGAATAAGCCTACTGTGAAAATGAAACTGGCTAATGACAAATTGAAGAAAAATAAAAATTGAAGTTACCACGGAGCTGGTCGCAGAGGGCGGAATGAAGGCCGAGACTAGAGAAAGAACAATCTGCAAATATCTCCGAACTTCCCTTCCTCGCTACTTCTCCTTCCTTCTCTTCTTTCTCGTCCTCTCTTCTCCTCTTCTTCGTCTTCGTATCCATGAGCTGCGCCGCACCTCTTCCCATCCTCCTTCCTTCTTCCCTTCCCTCCGCTTACCCTAGCAAGCCCTGAAGAGAGAGTGAGAGGACGACTGGACCGTTGAACCGGAGCCGGAGCTGCTGCTGCCGCCGCCGATTTTGGAGTACGACTTCTGGAGAGAGAGAGGCGATTTCCCGAGCGGCTGAGAGGTTTAACAGGTATGAGGAATAGAGGTGTAAACATAACTGAGAATTCATATAAAACGCCACCGTTTTGAACTGGCGCGCAAAACCCGAAAATTGCCGCGCGTGAAGAAACGAAACGCCGCGGCAGCGGTGGAACGATGGAAGGTATCTTCTGCTCACCACTCACCAGCCACCGCGTTCAAAATCAAAGCACAAGAAGAAAGAACCTCCAATTTCCCGCTCCGCCGTCAACGACCGCTCGCCGTCGGCCGGGTAGTTGACGCCCTGCGCCCGTCATCATCGCAGAGCAAACTCGCCGCTCCTCCCTCCCTACTGCCTCTCGCGTTGACTGTCAGATATGCCTACGACGACTGATTTTCTGTACATCGTTGCAAACACCACCGGCTTTCTTTCCGATGGCTTTTCGTCGGCGGAGAAGGTAGGGCTCTAATTGCACAAGAAATCTCTCTCTTTCACTTGGGAATTAGAATGCTGTTCTTTTGTGCATGATTTCTTTACAAGGGTTTTCTTCGTTCTTGTTTGCGTTCTGGAACTTTAGGTTGTAAAGCCCACTAATTTGAAGTGGTTGTATGAGTTTCTGGTCCACTTATCATCGAACCACCAAATAACTTGCTCTGACTTCGCGGCTACCTCCAATCTCTCCGGTGCTGTGGCGGAGATCGCCGGTGTGAAATTGAAATCAAGGGACCTAGTGGATCTCGCCGACATTTTGTATAAAGAGCTTAGCTGGAGATTCGATGAGTTCTTCTCTGCTTTGAGTGATCATGACTCTGGGCTCGAAGCTTTTACGCTAAGCATTGAAGTGGTGGCTTCACTGTTGAGGTGTTGTATGGCTATGTTACCCTTCATGCTCCATGACCAGGCACTTCTTGTGGAAGAGGGTCGAGTTCTTCTTTCTATTCTTAGAAGATTGATCTCTCTTGAAGGCACATATGTTAATGGTGATTGTACTAGCTCCATTGCACCTTCACTTGGGCTATCTACATTTGCTTGTGCAATGCTTGAGGTAATCTCTTATTCCTTTTTCCATAGTAGACTACTAGATACAAAATGCGGGTGATGATGTTGCTTTCTTGTGCACAATGATGGCATTTTAAGAGTTTATATGTTCTTTTCTTGTACCTTTACTTTGGTAAACTCAAATTCATCCCACTGTCTTTAGGTTTTTGCAGATGAGCTTTTGGTACATCAACCACTGTACAAATTCTTGATGGCAATTGACTCTAGATCTTCAAGAAATGAAATGCTATTCAAGGGCTATGCAGCTAACTGTGACACTGGAACTTTGTTAGAGGTGATCTGTGCTCATTTCATTCTATCGGGTTTTCCTGGGCTGGGATCTGATGAACATTTAACTAAAATGTTGTTTTGGTGCCATGAGAACCGTGAGGTGCGAACACCTGGAATTTGCTTGCAAGCAGCTTTATCGCTAGTTATCAACCCTGTGATAGGTTCTGCACCGAAGGTGTTTCAAGCCTATTTGATTGTATTGACTGCTGAAACCGTTGGTATTGGAAAGCCTGATGAGAATGAAAGGATGGAACTTGCGCCGGTTATTTCCAGCTACTTCTCAGCGTTTGAAAGGTCTATAGACCTGTATGCCAGATTCGTACCTAGTTTGTGCGTGGATAGGCATCACTTTTGTGCTTCTGGTGGCCACCATGATGCATTGTCCAAGAGTAGTAGTCATCAACTGACTGCTTTTGATTCGTTTCTACAGGCTGGCACAAGGGATGCACTTCATAATCTGATTGCCAAGTTGAATAGTGATTGGCTTACAAGTGTGAGAAATGCATCATTAAAGTCTAATATTGTGGTTTCATCTGTGGATTATGTGAAGGAGAGCCTGTATGTTTTTGAAGAATGTCACAGAAATAAGATTCTGTCGATATTAGATTGCATAGTAGATGAATGTTTCTCTGACGCCAATGAAGAAAGTTCCCCTTTTCCAAGCGAAGGAGAAACAAGCCATGAAGATATGTTATTTCTTTCTTCTATCTTGAAGCTAATGGCTAGTTCAATGCTACAAACTGTCTGGTTTCTCCAGAGGTGTCCAAGTGCTCCAAACGCTTACAGAAACTCCATAGTGAAATCAGCTAGTCATTTTGAAGAGCTCGGCATTAATGTACCGGTTGGGAAGCGGTTACACGATAAAATGATGGCATCTGATGACGTAGTAGTGAAGCATAAGGAGTCCAAATCAATGCTTCTGCACTTTTCTGGGTTGCTGTCCTTCAGTTACAGTTCCAGACTTGATTTCTTGGCCAAAGACTGTTTATTAATGATCATGGCATCATTAAGTTTGTTCCTTGTTCAAGAGGGTAGCCTCGATGCCCTGCAGCCGGCAGTTGATTCCAGATTGCAGCCACCATTTTCCGAGTGCCCACCAGCCGAAAAGGTATATTTGATTCTTCTTCTTCTTCTCCTGAACAGGTTTCTTCAGAATTTCTCTCCCGTTTAGGGTTGAAAATAAGCTGAAAGCTCTGAAACAATATGGTTGCAGCCGCGGGTGGTATCCAGTAATAGTAAGAAGATTGCAGCTCGAATGCGACAGATACGAGACAAGGACTCTAGGTAAATACATCGTGATCTTCCATGTCCCGTCCTCACTTTTAGTGATCTAACCATTCCATGGTCCAGTGTTATGCAAACTCTAACCATTCCATCGAACAGGACTTGCAACGGGGAAGCTTACTTTATGTTGGTCGGAGCCAAGCCATCTGAATATGAAGATCTGGCAGACTATGTGGAGTGTGAGCATGGGAAAGATTATGCCAGCTGGTTCAGGTTGCGAAGAAGGTATAAAAAGTGGAGATCTAAAAAGGTCAGAAGTAGGAGACTGAAAAGGAGGAATTTGATGTTGCGTCATTTGGAGGGGAAGTGAACTCACCTTTAACACATTTCTTGTATATAGTTGTATATATGATTAAGGGTGAACATCACAACCCAGAAACCGACCCAACCGTTCAGTCCAAACTGACCTAACCGTAAAACTAGTAAATCTCAAAATATTTTGATGGGTTAGGGTTTATTTAATGTAACTCGAAACAAATATAGACTAACAACCTTTTTGTCTTTCTTTTGTTTGAGGAATGACCCGCATATGCAGTTCTCATTTGATTCTCATGTGTTTTATCTTTTATGTGAAAGATGTTTGAATGGATTACTATTAATTGTAGTACTTTTATCTGTGTTGTATGTGTGAGATTTGATTTTCTCATTTCAATTTTTTCGAATGACGTGATTTGAACTCGTGACATTCGTGGATTTGAATCCTGGTCACTCGTGTTATTACATGATGCTCCAAGGTTGTCAACCCGCAGGTTGACCCGTGGGTCGACCCATTTTGACCCTGACCCAATGAGAAAAACGGGCCATACGCACCCGCCGGGCCGACTGCTACAAGGTACCGGGTTGGAGGTCAAATTGTGTCATTTTTTTCTTTGGTTTGCGAAATGCGCCTATTTTCCGATTTTTCTTTTTGCCTAACTCAATCTTTGGAATCTTAAGTTGAACATTTGAATATTTATGTTATATAAGTGTGTGTGAATTTTCACTATATGTTGGATCTAAGTACGATATGATATTTTGGTGTAATATTATATGGTATAAGTCATATGCTAGATAAGATTTGATATAATTTATGAGGATAAGTACAATATAATGACTTTTTCTATATTTTCGGGTCAAACCGGGCTAAAACGATTGACTCATTAACCCATGACCCACTAGCTCGACCGGGTCCGGGTCAACCCGCGGGTTAACAACCTTGTGATGCTCTAATTATCTAGGCTAATAGATCCATGGGCAAATAATCACTTGGTAGGAAAACGAGTAACCATTCTGTAGCTGGAGAAAGTGTACTCATGGAGTAGAGAACCCAGTAGGTAAGGCTTCGTCATATCATTTTTGTCACACATGAGTTTGAGAAAGAAAGAACAAACTAGCTTTGCTCATCTATAATCATGTATCCTTCTAAACACGTGTGATCATCATGCATATAGATAGCTGCTTGATGATAACGGGTGAAATGTACAGCTGTAAAATTCAGGATTTTACGTAAAAGTGAAAATGGGGTAAAATCGGATTCGTAAAATCGTAGGATTTTAAGTTTCATATAAAAACGAAGACAAAATAATATTACTAAGAAAAATCATGAATAACACAAAAGCACATAATACTTACAATGATAATTTTTCAAGGTTAATGTTCCAATTTATCAAGGTTAATGTTATGAGGTGGTGAATCGATGATGATTAATACGTTGATGTGAATTGATTATAGTCGATGGTGGTTAGTGTGAGATGACTAGATGATGTTGGTGGAGGAGAAGAAAAAGAGGCATAATTTTGCAAATCATGGGGAAAATAAGTAAAATTGACTCAAAGATTTAAATCGTAAGATTTTAAGGATTTAAATCATGAATAGTGTAGAATTTTAAGCTCCATAAATTTTATAGTGAAATCAGAATCGAAATAGGTAAGTAAAATCGTAAAAGTGTAGGATTTTAGAATTTAAATCGGGATTTTGACTACTCTGGTGAAATGTAATTCATCCAAACTAAGTGGGTCAAACCAAACCGACTCAAAGCAACCGAACTCATAGCGTTTCATTTTTTGTGATTCGGTTTGGGTGCATTATTATCCTAACCGTAATATACAGATTGGATAGCTAAGAATGTCTAAACCTGATCCACTCGACATTGAAAAAAAAAAGCTATAAAAAAAACGCACGGATTCTGAAAATTAGTGGGCATAATACATGCTTCCAAACGCTCTTTAGAATTTTCAGTTTGCTGAATTTGAGAATAAGAGGGCATCAAATGCTCTAGAATTCTTCAAAGGTTGGTTTAATCTTAAGAATCAAACATTAGTAAGCTGAGGCCAAAGTTTGAGCAGAGCCTATTCTCTATTCTGAAAACAAGAAAAAAGGGAATCAGGCCGCACCACTACAAGACCTTGCCAGATTATTCCTGAGAATAAAGAGAGCTTCTTCTAATTATCAAAAACCGGGTGGTGCATCCATCCACTGGAATTAGCTGATAATCATCTTGTTGAAGAATTCAGCCTGCTCTGGGAAAAACTCTAGCAGTTCATCCTTGGTCACCCAAACAAAATCCTGACACTTGCCGATCTTGAACTTGTTGGTCGCAATCACCTGGGACTTGAAAAAGAATTGCTGAAAAGGAGAGATAGAGAAAGATATGAATAAGAGGGGGAACAAGACTTGATGGTGACGAGAGAGGGATTGCATTGTTACAGTTATTGATAAGTGAACAAGTGGAAATACCTTGTAACCATGGTCTGGTGCCTTTTCTGCAGGCTGAACCACCAAGTGACCCATAGGAGCATTACCCACAAAATATGTGTGGGAGAGGTCCCCTAACACAGACTGTAACGCAGTCTCAGCACACTGCACAAAGATCCAGAGAAACAACATGAGCAGAAAATCACAATACGGAGTTTTGAGCAGAAAGTCATAAGCAACTTGGGTCACCTTGCGTAACGTATCTTCGGTGTCATAAACCTTCTGTGGAAAATGCCAGACGGGTTTGTCATCAGAAGATCCATGCAACTTTCCATACAGAAGAAGGTAAAGCCTTCTATCCAATGCCCTGTTTAGTGACCTATACAAAACATTCAAACAAAAATACTACTGTATAAATATAATGGACAACTGTAGGGGAACAGCTCCATTGACATGATATTCAAACTTTCTGTGACTTAACCATTCATAGGAAGAATTACAATTAATCATACACCATTTGAGAGTTTACACGACTAACAGACATGGGAGGCCTAATGCACAAAGTTTGTCTGAAGTTGAGTAAGTAGAAATGTTTGTTCAATGAAGGGAAAGCTGAATCAATCATCGCAAGGATATCTAAGAAGTTCGGACTAAACACATATTTTCCTTACTTTCTATCATTTGCTTTGTCAGCTTCTGTGATCCTTGGGGCTGGGACATACTCCATTTGGTATTCACCTTGCGCCCTGATTACAATTGAAACAAAATATTAAATCCATTATAATCTATAGTACAATAATCCATGTCTGCTAGCAGGAACTGGAAATAGTGTACACCTGCACTAAGCACACATATTACGTGTTATCCGGCGACATTTTCAACTCCCACAACCAAATTATCATTGTTATGAAGATGCTAATGATCGAAGACAAAGAGACTAACAACCACGAATAAAAAACAGCTAGGACTGGAAAGTGGCAGACTTGTTCATCTCAAAAGGAGAAGAGAACATATGATCCAACGCAGTATTTGAAACAGCAGGTTTTCAAGTTACTGGACCTATTTGGCCAAACTAAGCTACCCTAGGGAAAAAACAATCAGCAGACGGTAAAGAGAACGAGAAGTTCAGACCACCTTCCAACCCAAATCAGCATGATAGATGTTGATTTCGCCAGAGTCCAACTTAAAACGATGGGGAAATACAAAAACAATGGCGGATAGCTGCTTATTGAGGAAGTCAAAACCATGCAGCGATGCAAGCAATACAAGAACATAGAACCAAGGAGAACCCTTTCCTCAAACAAACGGGGGGAAAATGAATGCTTTACAGCTACCTAGAGCGATGAAATTCAGATTGATCAGAGAATGTAAGGCCCCAAAACCACACACCTGGAGTTGGATTTGTTCAAGAACTCATCCGGATATCTGCGGGAATACTGCTGCTGCCACCGAAACCTAGAGCAGAATCCCAAGAGGAGTTAGAAAATACCCCAATGAGGAAATTAAACCGAAGGGAACCCACAGATATAGAGGCTGGGGACTGACGAGAACTCCTGGAAAGCGTAAACCACCGGATCGATTTTGGGAACGACGACGGGCAGCCTTTCGAAGAGGACGGAGGCTACAATTTTGTCGGAGTTGGTAGAGAACTGCCGCGCGGACGCCAGCAGACGGCTGGGAAGCGACATCAATGTACGCCGCATTTGAGGATCTGAAAGAGAAGCGCAAAAACCCAAATCAAAATGGGGCTCTAGGAAGAGAGAACAAAAACCCTGAAGGCTAAAACCCTAGGAGACTTATGACTAACCTGCGAACACTCTATGGAACTGTAAAAGCAATGGCCTTTTTCAGTTCAATGAAAGTTGGAGGAACTTTGAAAGCGGAAAGAGAGAGGTGCCAATATGGAGTCTTAGCTGCGTCTGGCGCTCACTCACACGACGACTACGGCGGCGGCAACACCGATGGCGGTCAATTTAGTACCAGAACGACCAATATGGTTATCCTGCTAACAGCATAAGCTGTTAGTATATACTAACACGGTTGGATTTGAGGCCACGTAGGCAAGCCGCGATCGGACGGTGGAGGGAGAGAAGAGCAGCTTGTGGCTCTGCTGAACCAAGCCTCTTACTTTTTTTTTTTACAATTCAAAAAAACTCAACCTTTTCATTTATGTTTAATTTTCTTTTCTCTCTCCATCATTTCATTTTCCTTTCTCTCCCACTCTCCAAAACTGACTGGCCTCTTCTGTTCTTCTTCTTCTTCCTCTCTCTCCCAAATAATTCAAAATACCTCTCGACAACGGCGGGTGTGAGAAATACGACGCCGGCGACGAGAGCTACGGGCAGGAAGAAGACGGCGGTGCTTGGAAACGCCGGTAGCGGTGCTTGAAGGAAGACGAAGTCGGCCGAGCAAGAAGGAAGACATCGACGCCAGTAGCGCGAGGAAGACGACTACACCAGCTGCGAAGAGAAGAAAGTTTTTGAGGTAAGCATCTTCCTTTCTCCTGATTCATTGACGGTGAAGGCGGATCTTTGAGGTAGGTGTTTTGGATCTGAGATTCATTGTTAGGGATCTGAGATTCTTGTCGGGGGATTTGAGATTCGATTTGGGGGATCTGGGATTCTTTTGATTGGGGGGATTTGGATTTCTTTCGATTTGGGGGATCTGGGATTTTCTGTGGCTGGATTACATATATTTGATTTAGGGTTTCATAAATTCGAATGGATCTGAGTTTTTTTTTTTGCTTCGTTTTTTGGATCTGAGGTTCATTGTTAGGGATCTGGGATTCTTGTCGAGGGATTTGAGATTCGATTTGGGGGATCTGGGATTCTTTTGATTTGGGGGATTTGGATTTCTTTCGATATGGGGGATCTAGGATTTTTTGTGGCTGGATTACATATATTTGATTTAGGGTTTCATAGATTCGACTGGATCTGAGTTTTTTTTTTTTTTTGCTTCGTTTTGGATCTGAGATTCATTGTTAGGGATCTGGGATTCTTGTCGGGGGATTTGAAATTCGATTTGGGGGATCTGGGATTCTTTTGATTTGGGGGATTTGGATTTCTTTCGATTTGGGGGATCTGAGTTTTTTTGTGGCTGGGATTTCTTTCGATTTGGGTTTCTTTTGATTTGGAGGATTCGTTTTTTGATGTCGATATTGTTTAAGGTTTCTGAATTTTACTCGTTAATTTGATATTTTTTTACCTGGAAAATTGTTTAGCTGGCATGGGATACCATTTAGTTTAATGTGGATATTGTTTGGTGGTTGATTGTCCGGATATTGGTTATGTGATGCATAGATATTTGTATGCTAGGTCTGGATATTTTTATGCCCTGTATGGATATTAGTTCAATGATATTAGCTCTTTTCAGGAATTGTTTCTGGATTTTGCTCGTTAATTTGATATTTTTTTTAACTGGAAAATTGTTTAGGTGGCATGGGATACCATTTAGTTTAATGTGGATATTGTTTGGTGGTTGATTGTCCGGATATTGGTTATGTGATGCATAGATATTTGTATGCTAGGTCTGGATATTTGTATGCCCTGTATGGATATTAGTTCAATGATATTAGCTCTTTTCATGAATTGTTTCTGGATTTTGCTCGTTAATTTGATATTTTTTTACCTTGAAAATTGTTTAGCTGGCATGGGATACCATTTAGTTTAATGTGGATATTGTATGGTGGTTGATTGTCAGGATATTGGTTATGTGATGCATAGATATTTGTATGCTAGGTCTGGATATTTTTATGCCCTGTATGGATATTAGTTCAATGATATTAGCTATTTTCAGGAATTGTGCAAGATGACAAAATCCGAAAGGTGTTCGATGCCAGCTCCTCCAAGAGAAGGGGAGGCGGAGACACATCACTGGCTCAATCCAGACGCATCATGCTGGGAAAACAAAGATTTTGACAACCTTGACCTAAATCAGGTACATAGATGTTGTCTTTGCTTCTTAAGTGACATGGTTGCATATAGTAAACTAAATATTTTACAACATATGTAGCTTGCGGCAATGGACTCAATGGTTGAGAGCATGATCCAAATGTGGAGGGCTCGGGACGACGCGCTCAAAAAAATTATCAAGCGTCAGCAAGACAACAGTTGAACTATTGGTTTCTCATTTCTTATATGGTTGTGCTTTTTCAGATTTGAAATTCTTGGATTGCCAAGTTGTAATGACATTAAATACTAGTTTTATCGCGATTTGTCTATCACACGACTCTTTTTATTAAGAATTCGAGTTTTTTTATTATGGAATATTATTTGCTCGTCGAAACACATCTCCACAAAACAAATATCCAAACCACTCAAACTAATATCCGACTGTCGCACTAACATCCGTTCTCCATTAAAAATATCCATACTAGCCAGACTAATATCTCACCGTCTCATACTAATATCTAATCATCCCGAAATTAATATTCTCACTATCACAGACTATTATGTGACCACATATCCAGCCATAGTCTCTTAATTAGCAATTATCATAGGTTGAAAAAGACCTTACTTTCAAAATTTCATCAAAAAACAATATATGGCAGTTCTACGGTGCCCAAGGCAAAATCTGGGGTACGGGTAACCGGGGGCAAGGAAAATTACCAAAAGCATCACGAAGCGTTTATGCTTTATTAATTGGACTTCAACCTAACTGTACCCGGTTTAATGATATCGATTAAGAGGTTAAACCCTATGGATACGACCTGCCGCCCTAACCAATTTCCAGTCTCCCTTCTACGATCCCTCATTCGCCTTGGAGGGTCCCCTCTAAGTTCGAAGTTCGATCATAAGCTGCCTATCAAATCTGAAATCTCCAACAAAATCATCGTTTCGAAACCCAAATCCTTTTATTATTTGATCCACATTCGATTTAGCTCCCTATCCAATCTCAAATCCCCAACATCATCATGTTTCATACGCCAAATCTATGTATCCACATTCGAAGAGAAGATCCCCATCCAATATGAAATCCTCACATAATCATCGTTTTGAACCCCAAATCCTTTTATCCACAAATCGACGTTTTGTTCATCGCCATTTTATTTCCGTGCGGAATTTACTCGCCTATCTCTTTCTAACACGATTACGGCGACCATGTCTATTATTGTGTTCATCAAACTTTTTGTTTGCAAAAGAACCCTTGAAAGAGGTTTGCTAACCCTAGGGTTCATGTCGCTAGTGCTTTGTCATCTTGTCTTAGCGTTATTGTCATTTTCTCGAAACTTCTATCACTCGGTGAAATTAAGGTTTCCTGATATGCAGTGTTCGTCTCGCCCAGAGGATTGAGGAAGGAGATGAAGAAGACCTAATTTGATTCGAATCAGATGGAGAGGTCTCCTTAATTTGTGTTTATGTATTAACGGTGCGTTTAGGACTAATTCTAGTTGGACTGGGTCTGATCATTGATTTTTGCAGGCTTTTAAATAACATTCAAACGTGGGCTTGTACATGGACCCATGACACCTAGTTTGTTGATAATAGATACTGAGTTCCGGATTGTCATTAGGTTGGGCCTTTGATAATTGTCTATCTCAGTGGCGATTCTTTGTTTTACTTATTTTCATCTGCTTCTGCTTCTAAAATCCTGATCATTCATTGAGTTCACGCAATTTAAACATAATTCTGTGTTCCATCTTTTTGGGATTTGGTAAATGCTAGCGTGTCTCTTTACACATTTAGCGGTACGAGGTAAACTACAATCCGCCCAATTTAACTCTTCATTAATTGAGATCCCATTCCACTCTCTCACCGATTTCCCCTCTTTATGCAATGCACTCGTACATAACAAACCTCTTGTAGACTAATTAGAGGCTTGTGGTTGGATACTGAGTGAGGATATTTTTTTAATTTATGTTTTGAAACGAAAGTTAGAATTTCACTTTTGAAGTACCTATGTACTTTAGTTGGGCAAGTATTTTCAAAATGTAAAATTTTATCAGCGTATAGGTATACGATTGTTGTATAAGGTGTTGATGTTAAAGGAAATGGTTACTGACTGCTTAGGGTATTAGGTTGTTGATGGTATAGAGTATATGGTATATGGGTAGGTTATAAGGTGTTGATGGTTTAGAGCATATGGTATCGATTGGTTAAAGGGTGAGGGTAGGTGTTGTCTTATTTTTTCTCGATTTTATATTTTCTTTATTTCTGCTTATAAATGCTGATCATGCCTTATTACTAAAAAAACTTAGACATAATTATTGTAGCGTGACACATTTATCAGTACTTAGACATAATTCTTTATATCTGCTTATAAATGCTGATCATTTATTGTTTGATTTGAACCTGCGTGTTTTTGCTCCGAATGATTTTATAGTGGCGTGGTAAAGACAATCCGTCCAATTTAACTCTTCATTAATTCCCCCTTTTCTTTTCTTTTTTGGTAGAATAATTACCCCTTTTCCACTCTCTCAGTCCCCGCCGAAGTTGAAACAATCCCCTGTGATATATTTATCGTTCATTTTAACCCTTCACTTAATAAGAAAGCGAAATTATGCAAAATGGTCATCAATGTGATGTAGCTTAATTGGTTAATTGTCCGTTATTTGCTTAGTCAATAAAGTAGAGGTTTGTGGTTCGATACTTAGTGAGTATCAATTTTTAATTTATGTTTTGAAAAGCAAGTTATAATTTTAATTTATCAGCGTATAGGTATACGATATTGTATAAGGTGTTGATGGTTTAGAGTACATGGTATTGGGTTAGTGTATTGATCATCTCCATCCCTAAAATACGATATTGTATAAGGTGTTGATGGTTTAGAGTATATGGTATTGGGTTAGTGTATTGATCATCTTCATCCCTAAAATTGAACAACAATTTCTAAACGAGGTCCCTACCGCCACATCATCAATTTTAGCAATTCATCACTTATCAATTTCTATTCATCTACATCCCTAAATTATGGTAGCAATTGCCAAGGTGGGTTCCATTTTATATTTCAAAGGAAACACTTATTATACATTGAAAGTTGGGGATGGAGATAGAAGAAGGTGTTGTTGGTATACAGTATAAGGTCTTGAAGGTTATGGTATAAGGGAGGAGCAAGGTGTTGATGGTTTAAAGTATATATGTTATTGATTGGTTACGGTATAAGCCTATAAGGTGTTGTTATTGTTGTAGAGTATATGGTATTGATTGGTTCGTGTATTAGGGTTTGGTTTAGGGTTTAGGGTTTAGGGTTTAGGGTTTAGGGTTATGATTCAAGCTAGAATAACATAAACCAGATCAATAGAGTAATGTTGGTAAACGAAAAAGTTGGTTAATCTACAAATTCATACTATTTATAAAAGCACATCCCCATTTCCCACCGTCAATTCCTAAACTTTTCCCTTAATCCGATGGTGAAATACCTTCGATCCTTGTCGCGTGCGTGTCACCCAATCAGATATTGCCGAATTCGGAAAGTCGCTTTTGCCCATAACCAATGCTGGCGTTACCAAGGCCGAGGCAGTGGTAGGGAGTGTAATTTTCAGTAAATGTGAAGGGAGGGAAAGTAAAAGTAATTACGAGTCAATCTTTAAATTCGTTAATGAGTGAAGGAGAGACCGTGCTCCGAAACCCGAGTGGCACTCATCTCCTGCTGCTGTTCGTTCCTACTCCTCTCAATCCCTGAAAAGAACCCTTTCTTCCATCTTCTCAATATGAAACTCCGAAAATCAACCCCATCCGCCTCTTCGTCCTCCTATCCCATTCTTTATTTTCGGGTGCAGTGGTACAACTAAATCCTTCGTTGTATTGTTTCTCCTTTTCTCTCCATGCAGGGTCTTTGTTAGAGGCAGGGAGGGGAGCAATGACAATAAGTCGCCGTCTGAATATCGCCGAAAGAATCATCACATGTTGTTACGATTCCATAATAGGTGTTGTGGAACCCTACTTCATGTGGTGGTTCTTTTGTGCCACATTGACGCGTACTTGTTGATCATGCTCCGAAAATCAACCCCATCCGCCTCTTCGTCCTCCCATCCCATGCTTTATTTTCGGGTGCAGTGGTAATGATGAGACTGCGTATTATTTTAGATCTCATTTCCTTTCATTATGTCATTGTTAGATCATGACTGTTAAACTAAATCCTTCGTTGTATTGTTTCTCCTTTTCTCTCCATGCAGGGTCTTTGTTAGAGGCAGGGAGGGGAGCAATGACAATAAGTCGCCGTCTGAATATCGCCGAAAGAATCATCACATGTTGTTACGATTCCATAATAGGTGTTGTGGAACCCTACTTCATGTGGTGATTCTTTTGGGCGACATTGACGCGTACTTGTTGATCATGCTCCCAAAATGTATACAAGATGGGAAAGTTGCCATATGTATAATAGGATAAAATAGGGAGGGAAAGTACAACTTTTTGTTTTTGTTGGACTATATGTAACATTTGTTTATATTTGTATACTGTTTTGTTATTTTTTCTTCTGCTTCTCTCTTCGCTTCCATGGCGGCTTCCAAAAGTGTTTGAGATCTTCTAAATCTGCGAGGGATCCTCCACTCCCAATAAAAATACTGTACTTTGTAGCGTTTGAGATCTTCTAAATCTGCAGGGGATCCTACACTCCCAATAGAAATATTGTACTTTGTACTATTAGCGTTTGAGATCTTCTAAATCTGCAGGGGATCCTACACTCCCAATAAAAATACTGTACTTTATTTGTGGACTACTTACTCCATTTTTAGAAGTCTTTACGATTGGGCCAACCGGATTTTTTGCCGGATTTCGAACTCTGCTCCTCTGTCGCCACATGCTCTACCCATTTAATGAGTGCTCAAAATTAGTGCAAAAAATACGATATAATAATTGAATAAAAAAAAACTAGAGTGCTTAAAAATTGCCTTCAACTGACCATTAATGAGTACATAAATTAAACGACACCGCAAGAGCCAACAGTCTTCTTATATACCAAACGACTCGGCATAGGAGGACTTCCAGTTTCAGTTCAAGTTTCCAACACCGAGCAAATATATGGTCCCAATTGCCACTTCAGCAACTTTAACTATACATCAATTGTGACCGTGGGTCCTACTTAATTTTCAATGCAATTCAATATTAATTGGTGAGTGTGTTATATTAATTTGAGTTTTCTCTCAAGTTGTTTTTTGTTGTTGTGTTATTCGAATTATGTAAAGTATTATGATTGGAATTGTATATATGTGTGTGCTGCATGAAAATTTGCAACTGCATGAGAAAACATTCATCAGATGCAAATTTGC